TTAAAATACTTTAAGAGACATAACCAAACATTTTATTTATTCAAAGTAACAAAATGTATCAAGTTCGACTAGATATGAACGTAATCTCTTGCATAGATATAAATTCTTGCACATCCATAACCCATTATAGTAGATTAAGATATAAAACTTGTTAAGACATTAATTTTATCTAAAAGTCACTCGTTGTATGGAGTAAGAATCATCGTTTTGTTGACATAATATTCTATTTTACATAATCATGGCATGCTGATAAGATACAATAAAATAATCTTAGATAATGCCAAGCACTAAATAGAAATTAACAATTCAAATTTTATTACTATCACGAGTCAAGTGTACACGACGTTAGATTAACTAGATAGGTTGGTCTAGCCGTGTCAGGCTCCATTTGTGCACGTGTACTTTAAAAAATTTGGGATGCAGGTGTGCTACAAAAGAGAAGTTTGTGTCGGATTGAGAGTATATATAATATATTCCTTCTCATCCTTCAATAGACAACTTGTGCATCTTCTGTACCGCGTTTCACGACTTGTGTCGTAGAATTCACATGCTTCTGACTTCATGTCGAGGAAAATCAATTCACAGAGTTACACTTGATTTAACTTGGAATGTCCATTTATTACACGTGACATGTTAGGTGAAACTATTAAGTTTGAGTCACAAAAAAAATATCCAATTAACGAATTGGAGCCTTGAAGTCAAGGTCGAACTCATTTCACATCCAGAATTGGATTTTTGTTATGAAGAGACAAGAGCACGAGGCCTAGTCAATAACGAAAAGTTGAATTAATGAATATGCACATGCAATGCTCCATGCTCATGCTTCTTGGGTAGAGGAAAAGTTTGATGAAGATGCACATATGGTGCTTTTTATTCAACACCTTTCGATAACGAAAAATAGAAAATGCACATATAAAACGTTTCGAACTTTTCTGTGGGTCTTATCATCCAGGGTACCATGACAAGATATATGAAGTGGAATGCAAGCGATATGTAACATTTCATATTCTGATCACTTCAGAAAAAAATGTCATTTATTTAAGTTTATATATAATCCCATGTCATGTCATTATCTAACAAATAAACCTTGATTTCTTTTCGACACATGTCCCGTGAATTTTTTAATGCGTTTCATTCCTCAACCACTTCCTCTTCAATTGTCAATTCTACGGTTGGTTCCTTAGTGGTTCCTCTCAAGATTTCTTTATACATTTTCAATAAATTTAGCAATGTATCCAACAAATTATTTATAAAATAGAAAAAAGAAAAAGAAAAAGCAAGCTGAACTATGCCTTATTTGTTTATTTTTTGCTAAAATTATAAGTTGATAGAGATGAGTGAGTGGAGGAAGTGAGTAATACTTGTGTATCCTACAAATTTTTTTCTCTATATATATATATATATATATAAACCTTAAAAACGTTTTCCGTTGTTTAGTGATACCAAAAATAAAAAATAAATCCCATTGTTCATCGCTAAACAATCTATAATATTTAAAGTTCCATTAAATTTTGTAAAAAACTTTTTCATCATCCAATAAGCTTCCTTTTGTGGACAAATTTTATAAATAGTTTATAAATTCTATAAAAGTTAAAAATTAATTTTAAACAAATACGGAACATAACTCATTATTATCAACACATTTCGTCGAATTCAATATTATTCTTTTTTATAAATTTGCCGAACGGAGACTATTTATTGTACTTGTGAAACATAATGGCTTGTAAATTT